ACACACACACACACACACACACACACACACACACACACACACACACACACACACACACAGACACACACACACACACACGAATTAATATTAAAATACCTGATTATTTCACTTCAAAATTTATGATCAAATTTTCTGGAACAGACTCCAGCGCTAAAAACAAATTTAATTTGATAACTGATTGCCATGGGTTGGGGAGGAGCTAAGGGGCAGCATTCACAATGAGTCAGAATGAGCATACAATTCATGTTCAGTAGGTTGATTTAAATTTAAATATTTGATTATTTTAAACAAGATATTACTTGTCTAAATAGATATTAGAGGAACATAGTGCTTAATTCTTTTTCTTCAAACAGATATAAAGCAAAGGCCAGGTGACAGGTGACATGGTGTTTTTTTTCAGTTTCATGACTCTTGAGAATAAGTCATCAAGATGCCACCCAAGTGTTCTTCAGGTAAAAGCCATGTAGCTTCTCCAATAACAACTAAGAACAGCTGCAGGACCTATGAGGCCTTCTCCAGACTTGCTTTCCCCATCTTTGCTAGTGCCATCTTAGTTATTTCTGGGTTATTTGTCAAAATTACCTAATTTCCTTTAGATTTACTTCAGAACTCAGTTTTGTGTCTTTATTCATGGCACCTATCTTGACATGCTCATGTTTGAATGCAGAACACATTTTCTGTCACAGCCGAAAATGGAGCTCAGAACCCTATTTTCACTGGCAGAACACTTGGGCCACCACAGGCACCCCCGACACAAGTGATGTTATACTGGCCATGACCACCACCCCAGGTCAAACACAACCCTGATGCTGCCATCAATGAAATCAAGTTTGACAGACCTGATTTAAACAGAACTTGCCTTTCACATTTGTAGAATTCTTCCACAAGAGAATGGATACAGCCTTCAGCTTTCATTCAACATTGGATATCTGCATCCAGAAAAAGAGTTATATCCTCTCTTTATATCTGCCATTTAATAAACTCTTCTCCCAGTTAATAAACTGTGGGTGAAACCCAAAAACTGTGAAAAGCTAGTTATGTAACCTGGAAACTTGAGTCTTCAAGTGATCATCTGTGAATTCTCACAACTCACCTACTATCTCATTTGTTGTTAGGTAACTAACATTCCTTCTTGGTTCACTCATAGATTTAGTCACAGATTCAATCATGTTTGGAATGCGTGAAGGATGAGATTCTTTCCAAAAATACTATACACTCCGGAAAACTCCAAGCTAGCTTTGTGCATAATTAAAATTAATAATTTGTATGTGAATTCACTGAAGATTACTTTAAAAACTCAGATTACCAGCAGAAACTATTTCTTGCCCATGAGCANGGTGGGCGGTTAGAAAATTTTACTACTAACAGAGATACAAAAGTGAGCGGTAGGTATAAAAAGGTTGACTACCCCTGCTTTAACCACTAGATCACTGGTTCATGTTTGCCTATGTTTGTCACTTTCTCCTATGGCTAAATATCCCACTTATTTGTCCCTTTTCATTGGTTTCCTCTAGAACTGAAAGCTAGAGAGCCAATTAGGAGTAGTGCTTAAGGCAGCAAGTTAGAAACTGGGAGACTCTGAGTTCCAGTCTTGCCCTGGGCATGAAACTCGGCTGGAGAGAGAGAGAATTCACAGCAAGCCTGTTTGGAGTTAGGGGAAGAATAGTAAATTGTGAAAGACAATCAGTAGGGGGGGAAGCTAATCCTTCCTTTGGCTATATGTAAATGGGTAATAATGTACTGTTGATAAGAGCAGCGATGCCAGTAGAGCTAAGGGTCATCACTTGTGGCAGGTAGAGATTGCTAAATGCATGGAACCATGGCCCAAAAGTGCATTTAGGTTTAGCTATATAGGTATCCTAGACCTAAATAAAAGGGATGAACTTTCCACTTCTGTTTTGTAAGTCTAAAGTACCGTAAGGGGAAAAATATGCAGAATACAGGATGCTGTTATCTTGGGTAGACAGAGAGTTGAAATGTTAGATTGCCACAAGACAATGTTTTTCTTGATTTCAAGTTTTAAAAATCATATCACATGAACAGCAATGTTGCTTGGGGGTATAAATGGATCGTGTCTGTACTTGCAACACCTGCCTTGGTACTTCATGACATTTCTGAATATGGAGATGATTCACTTAGTGTTTCTGGAGGCATTTCGAGCCGTGGTCTGATTTCTCTTTTCAGAACAGGTGCCAAAGAAATTTAAGCTTTCTGTACCATCTTCAGCAACCAAAAAAAAAAAAAAAAAGCAGAAAAGAAAATGAAACAGTTTTTCTCAAGAAGGTGTACGTTTCGTTTTTAACAACTTTGCATTCCCCTTCTGTTCTTAATATTTCACTGTTCAGTAAAGACCCCTTTAGTAGGAATGGCAAACTGCTTTCAGGAGTATAGGTTTCTTTGCTAAACCTTAGGTTGCCCAAATGTAGCAATTTTAAGATCTGTGGACCTCAGCTTCCAGAACTCCCT